AACTAGGAAAGAGATTTTGCCTCTTTTATTCACTGTTGCTTCCCCAGTGCCTAGAACAGTGCACAGTCCATAGCAGGTGCTCAATAAATATTAGCTGAGTAAGTGAACAAATGGTTCTGCTCATTTTCTATGAGAAGCTGCCTCCCCATCCTTGGTGTCACCTCTCTGAAATGTCACCTGTCACTGCTCTTTATGTGTACACTTCCATTTTATTGACATTCGATTTCCATAGGTGTGTCTCCTCTAAACTCCTTGACAGGTGGGTTTGTACATTTTCCATTTCTATCTCTTATCCAACCCTTCTATCAGCTCATAAGTGCATCCAAAATTCTGCCAATCTTTGAAAACACACATAAATAACCCTCTATCCTCAATATAACTGATGCAAAAACTGCAGGAATTTATTTGTAGAATATGTCTCAACTTCAACTAGTGATATTTGCAATGCATGCTCAGAATTATGCACTGGAGAGAGCTCTCGATTCTGTTGTAGATTCTGCAAGCACTGTGTCAAAACTCCTGAAGCATGTCAGATCTTCATGTTTTGAATTTTGGGTTTTGAATTTTGCCTCTAGTCATTTTTGCACAAGATGGAATAGGGAGGAATGTTCTCTGATAAAACATTGCAATCTGGAGCATGGACATTTCACTGACTCCTTCCAACAGCCCTGTGGTGGGTGCTAATGTCACACTTGCATTGTAGAGAGACAGAGAGACACTAAGCCCATGATGGCACACCTCTGCTTAAGCTCATCTAAGAGTTTGGTAATGGAGCTGAGACCCAAACTCAGTTCTGACTGCTTCCCAAAGTCTGTGTTTTTGCAGCCTGCCCCCTGCCCCATCCCTCTTCCTCCCCCAACCTCTTCTTCCAACCCTTGGCAAGGCCTAAGGCTTTGCTCATGACTTTTAGAACAGGGAGCACTAGCAAAGCCTACCACTGAGTTCTGCCTCTAGGGCTGAAAATTAAAATGGCTTGGGAAGTGTTCAGCCATGCTACCCCAGCTGCATCCCCGTCCCCTAATTACCTGACTTCAAAGCCTCCACACGGCAGGTGTGAGGATGTAAAAGTTGCCATTACCCCCACGGAACGTGGTGGGACTAGATACAGATGAGATACCATCAGAGCTGCTGGTGTATGGAGAAAATCGGGCAGTCTGGGGGCCAGACCTAAAGGCCTGGCCTTGTGACTTTGGTCATCAGAAAGAACACCTGAGAGCCTGGATTCACAGAGGACCAAGGCAAGGAAGGTGGCCTGGAAGTACTAATGCTTGGTAATTACTGCCCCTACTTCCCCTTAAAAAAAAATTTGTTTTTTTTTTTTTGAGACAGGGTCTTGCTCTGTCACCTAGGCCGGAGTACAGTGGTGCAATAGTAGCTCATTGCAGCCTCAAGCTCCTGGGCTCAAGTGATCCTCCTGCCCCAGCCTCCCAAGTAGCCAGGACCACAAATATGTGCCATCACTCCTGGCTAATTTTTTATCTTATTTTGTAGAGACAGGGTCTAGTTCTGCTATCCAGGCTGGTCTTGAACTCCTGGCCTCAAGCAATCTTCCTGCCCCAGCCTTCAGAGTGGCTAGGACAACAGGCATGTACCATCATGCCTGGCTAATTTTTTGTTTTTATTTTTATTTTTGTAGACATGGGGGTCTAACTATGTTGCCAGAGCTGTTCTCAAACTCTTAGGCTCAAGTGATCCTTCTGCCTCAGCCTCCCAAAGTGCTGAGATTATACGCATGAGACTCTGCATCTGGCCTGTGCTTGCCCTTATACCATGGGGCTTATGGCTCCCCACAACTCCAGGAGGGAAGGAAGCTCAACCTTACCTTCATTACTCAGGTGAGACTGCCAGGTGGAGGGTAGAGACAGGGGTGGGGCAGAGTGGGGAGAGTGAGAACTTACCCCTGCCACTATTTCACTTCTATCTTGAGGCAGGGATGTGAGGAGGCCTGAAAGGGCCCAAGTGAGAGGTCTCTGCCTGGACTAGATAAGAAAGAACAAGCCTAGAGCAGAAAGAGGAATTCTCAGAATTTGTTAAACTAAGTGACTTCTGTAAAGCAAACAGATGCACATTCATTTATAACTATTACATAAAGTTGAATGTTACTGACTATTTTATAGTATTGTACCTGAAGGGGTAAGTAATACGTGTTTACAGAAGGAGAGAGAGAGAGAGGGAGAGGGAGAGGGAGAGATTGAGGCCAGAGAGCAAGGCATTGCAATTTCTTACAAAGGACTGGATTGGGCCAGGCACTGTGCTGTGTCCTCAGTGTGCTGATTTATCAAATGCTCACTGCCACCCAAGGCAGGCATGATTTTGTATCAGTTTTTTTTTTTTATGCTGCTGATAAAGACATACCCATGAATGGGTAATTTATAAAGAAAAAAGACGTTTAATGGACTCAGTTCCACGTGGCTGGGGAGGCCTCACAATCATGGTGGAAGGCAAAAGGCGCTTCTTACATGGTGGTGGGAAGAGAGAATGAGAGAACCAAGCAAAAGGGGTCTGCCCTCATAAAACCATCAGCTCCTGTGACACTTATTCACTACCACAAGGACAGTATGGAGGAAACTGCCCTTGTGATTCAATTATCTCCCTTCCATAACATGTCAGAATTGTGGGAGCTACAATTCAAGATGAGATTTGAGTGGGGACGCAGCCGAATATATTAATTATTATTCCTTTCACACAGAGGAAAATACTAGGGACAGAAATGGGAAGTGACTTGCCCAAAGTCACGCAGCTGCCAAGGGGCAGAGTCCGGATTTGAACCAGCTAGTCTGATTCCAGAGTCCACATCTGGTGTTTCAGTTTTTCCTTCCTCCCTACCTGTTGCAAGCCATGACGTGGAATGGGGGTGTGGAAGAGAAAGGAAGCTGGGAGAGGTGGAGCTTGGGTGATCTAGACTTCTCATCAAAACTCAAGACCAACATGATACCACAGAAAGTGAGGGAAAAGGAGTTAGGGATCTGGGTTCAGGTCCTGACCGTCACTTCTTCACAGTGACTTTTCCTTGCTAGATTCAGCTTTCACATCCGTAAAATGGGGAGAATTACAACACTGGTTCAAAAAGGTACCATGAGGAGAAAGAATAAGGAGAAAAGGACCTGGGAGCCTGGCACAGTGGCTCACACCTACAATCGCAGCACTTTGGGAACCTGAGGGGGAGAATCACTTGAGGTTAGGAGTTCGAGGCCAGCCTGGCCAACATGGTATAACCCTGTCTCTATTAAAATTACAAAAAAAAAAATTAGCTGGCCTGGTGGCACACATCTGTAATTCCAGCTACTCAGGAGGCTGAGGCAGGAGAATCACTTGAACCTGGGAGGTGGAGGTTGCAGTGAGCTGACATCACACCACTGGACTCCATTCTGGGTGACAGAGTGAGACTCCATCTCAAAGAAAAAAAAAGAAGAGAGAGGGAGAACAACTATGCAAATTCAAACTCAGGGATCAGCAAATTATAGCTGAGGGCCACAGCCAGCTGGCCGTCTGTTTTTGCAAATAAAGTTTTATTGAAGTAAATGAAGTTGTCAACACTGTTTCTGCTGGAAATACTCTGGACCCCTCTGTGGTGACTGAGCAACCCCAGGCTTCTGGAAGAATTGGCAAAACCCAAGCCATCTGAAATAACAAGAAAAAATTGTTCTTGATTTTTAACCTGTAAATTCTCTTAGAATTTTGTTTCCCTGAAATGAGTTATTTGCTTTGTGATGCTTGTTACTTACTGTATCGATTATATTTGAGAAAAATGAAGGACAATGTGAAATGCTGAGATGAAACTTTAACTTAGGCTCTGCTGAGCTGCAACTTGTAACTCTGGCTCTGCTGAGCTGCAACTTGTAACTCTGGCTCTGCTGAACTGTTCTGGTAAAAACAGGAACTCTGTGAAAGGGACTAACCACGTAGCTTGAGTGCCGGAGAAAGATGACAGCGCGTAATGGGCTTCTTTGTTGCAGAGAGCCTATAAACCAACATATGATGGAGAGGCTTATTACCTGGATTCCTCTCCCAGGAAAGGCATATTGATTGGGGCCCTGGAAAGGGAATGCGACCCTTATGGAGATCCTATAAACGGATGCATGAGAGGCGTCTGTCTCTGTGGTGGAGATAAGGATGCAAAAGTCTTTCTTCTCCCCCTGCTCCTCCAGGCCTGCGTGAAGGCCCCCTCCTCTTGCAGTTTTTGTGGTCAGGCTGGTTGTCCTGTGTCAGATCCTCTTCCCTCTGTAGCTGTGAGCCCAATATGTTCTTGCTGATAATCATAAGTTTATGTTTAACTTACAGTGTTGCTAAGGTGTATGATTTCTATGCTGAGACACAGAAAGTTATCTTCACATTGTTCTGCTTTTATAATACCACATTGTGATTTTTGTGCACCAGCTTTTGCAAATGTATTCTTTTTGTATAATTGTTACTGAAACTTTGCATAACCTTGCTCCCCCTCCCTATTGAAAGAGCACAATGAAAAACTGAGATTTTCAGAGGAATGTCAGACATCCACCGAGTGGCTTTACGTGGTGTCTCCCCCGGGCCCAGCTTTAAAGGAAACTTTTTTGTCTCTCTCTTTTTCACCGACCACTTGATCACTTTGAAAGATCTTAAACCCACATTAATTGGGAGCTGGTCTTACCAGTATGTTTCTGGTGAGAAACATACTGTTTATTATTTATGGCTGCTTCTGGTCTGCGAAGCCTAAAATATTTACTATCTGGTCAACTAGAGAATGAGTTTGCCAACCCCTGGCCTTGGATGCTATGAAAATGAGAAGTACTCTGTGCTGAGTTCTCAGCATCTTCTATCAGCTCTGGTTCTTACTCAGAATTGCTCTTCCTTGACCCCCTACCCAAACATAGAGGTACATTTCCAATCTATTTCTGAAAAACAAAGGAAACAACTCTCCCAAGAGTGAAGAAATCAAACTCCCAAAAACAATTTCAGTGCCCTGCATGGTTCTAGGTGACATCGGGTGCTGCAAAAAGTCACTCCAAGGCACCATCACTTACTTGCAGTTTTTACACTTGAGGCCAAAAAGCATCCCTTTCCCACAGACTGTGCATGTCTGAGACATCCAGTACTTGGTGGAAAACCTGTGGAAAAGAGATAGAAAATGTTCAAGGTTAAGGAAATGGTAATTAACCTACCTCTAGAGGGATGGAGCACTTTAAGAGCAAGCACATGAATCCTGGATTCCAGTCCTGTTTCTTCTGAGCTAGGTGACTTAATCAAGTGGCTTAAACCAATGCAACCTCAGTTTCCCCGTCTGCAAAGTGCAGATAATAAAAGTATTGACCTCGTAGGTTGCTGGGGAGCTTAAACGAGGTGAGGCATGTCAAGGGCTTTGTACAGTGCCCTTAGCAGTAAGCACTCACTAGATTGAGTTGTGACTATACTATTACCTTGAACATTTGTAAGGGTCATTCATTTGTTCAACAAATATTGCCTGGCAGCCTACTGTATGCCAATAATGGACAGGGTTGGAACTGCCTGCAGAAAGCTACAAATAAGGTGGAGCCTCCTGGGGGACCGGCTGGTCACATCACCTGGGGACCATCAAAGGGAGCCCGCCCCTCCTGAAAGAGCTGAGACCCCAAATTTTAGTGGCAGAGAAGAGTCCTTGAAAGTGAAAGCCATTTCAGACCATCAGCTCACCCTGCTCTCCAACCCCACCCACTTGCTGCAAACATAGGCAGTTTGCAGGCCTCCCATGCACAGCTGTAAACTAACTAGAGCAGAGGTGCATTTGATTAACTCCCTGGGTACATCTCCCCTCGATATTGCCGGGGTGCTTTCTTCCGCAAGAGATACGTGGCAGCGGCAGGGCTAGGCCCAAAAAAGTACCGAAGGCTGCCAGGTCGCAGTTAATTTTAATTTTCAATTTGTGTCACCAGCAGCAGGAGTTGTATCTAATCTCCACTGCCTCAGAGTGTCAAAAGGGAAATCAGAAGTGATTATATAACCTGGAGTCTGAGAATTTTGAGGGAAAGGGTGCATCTCTTTGCTGGACCATTTTGCCTGATTTGGGTCAGTCACTCTCCAAACAGAAGAAGCCATAGCCCAAAGACTACAAATCTAAGCAAATAGCAATATTCTGAGCAAAGACACTTACTGCCAAGAAAACTCTCCCTCTCTGGTTTTGGACTTGGGACTTGGTCAAGCCCCTTTCTTTCCCTTCAGTGTCAGTGAGTTTAGCATTGTCTGTTTTGCAGAATTTGGCAGCTCTGGAGAATGGCAGCAAAGAAGCATGTATTTCACTCATCAGCCAGCCATACAGGAATGGCAGACAGGCATCATAAGCAGTGGGTGACAGCTTTTTCTCCTTTCCAGCCCTGTCTTGTGCTTGGGATCAGCTCTGCCTCTTCCCCAGCTCTGGCTGAAGTGACTCTGATGGCAGCAGATGGGATTTTAATTTCATTTCTTCACCAAGGCTGGGGTGAGTCCAGTTCTCTACCTCTTGGCATTAACCCCAAGGAGAAACATAGGGAGAGACTGAAGAATAACAGGTCATCCTAAGTCTCAGCTGCCCTAGGAAGACATTCCTAAAATTAATAGGTTGTCTCCCTCCTCTGGGCATCAGCATTTGAATCTTAGGAACTACCAGAGCCTGGGGGCTGGGCGATCTAGGGAGTAGGGTGGAGCCAGGGGCATGGCCAATCCAGGAGCGTAGGTGAGCCAGAGGCGTGGCTCACCCAGGGGTGTGGCCGAGCCAAGGGCGTGGCTGAGCCAGAGTAGTAGCCAATCTAAGAATGGTGATGAGCCCGGGGCAGGGCCAGTCCAGGGGGCGTGGCCAATCCAGGGGTGGAGCAGAGTCAGAGAGTAGGAAGGAGGAAAATACAAAAAAAGGTCCTTGTCTCCTATGCCCTTCTCTCTGCTGCTCAAGGCCTGATCATTGACGTGTCTATCGCACACTTCTCACTGCTTCCTCGGTTTTCTCATTTAAGTCTTAACAACAATGCTGTCAACATACTTCTTTCAAAAACTGCTGATGAGATGCCACTCCGTGAGTCCCCATCCGTGAGAATGCTCATCCCTGCCATGCCCCCAGCTATGGTGATACATCTGCCCCCGATATCACCCCACCTTGTCACCCTGATCTCTCCATACTGTCCTGGTCTGTTAACTGCCTGACTCTCCCCTGGACAGCGAGTTCCCTAAGGGAACAGGCCTTACGTCTTGGTCAGTGCTACAACTATGGCACAGAAACTCTATAAATACAGGTGGAAAGAATCCAGGAGTGAGTGAACAAGTTCCCCAGCGAGTTCACAGAGGACCCGGTCCATGGAGCACTCAGCAGGGTGTCAAAAGAACACAAAGTACTGAGGCTAATTAGCTTTTCGACCTATCGCTTAATTTTTCAGGGCCTCAGTTTGCCTATCTGTCCAATGGCCATGAGCACACTTGCCCTGCTCACCCCACTAAGCTTGTAAGGAGACTGTGGAACTACCAAGACAAAATGGGGAAAGCTATATTTGGGGAGTTGAAGAACTTCTTATAAGGGATGCCTGGTGTATGCAACCCCCTCCCCTCAAAATGGCAGGTATCGCCCTGGAGAGGCTGTCCCATGCACACAGTAGGGCTAGAGATCTGGACTGACCTCCACCACACCACGGGGTGAACACCTACAATATTGTGTATTCTGGGTGAGGAGACTGAAAATTAAAACATAAAGCATTCATCTTAAGAATGATACCGTTGGCCAGGCGCGGTGGCTCAAGCCTGTAATCCCAGCATTTTGGGAGGCCGAGGCAGGTGGATCACAAGGTCAAGAGATCGAGACCATCCTGGTTAACATGGTGAAACCCCGTCTCTACTAAAAACACAAAAAATTAGCTGGGCATGGTGGTGCATGTCTGTAATCCCAGCTGCTCAGGAGGCTGAGGCAGGAGAATTGCCTGAACCCAGGAGGCGGAGGTTGCAGTGAGCCGAGATCACGCCATTGCACTCCAGCCTGGGTAACAAGAGTGAAACTCCGTCTCAAAAAAAAAAAAAAAAAAAAAGAATGATGCCGTTTATTGAGTGTTATGTGCCAGGCCATGTGCTAAGCACTCTACACATATTATCTCATATTAATCTGCACAGCCACCTATAGGTAGGCAGAATTATCTAATGAAAAAATTGAGCCTCAGAAAGGTTAAGCAACTTCCTCAAGGTTGCAAAGCTTTATAGCTGGGATTGGAACACAGGTCAGCCTGACTCCAAAGCCCTGGCTTTTAACTGCTATGTGCTAATTTCATAAGAGCCAGGTTAGTAAGAGGCAGGTGTCTCAGTCCCCTTGTTGCCACTTTTAAAGTTTAGCCTAGCAGAGGAGAAAGGGACACGGTGAAGTAGGTGCCGCAGCTCAATAGCCCAGCCTTCTCTCACCCCAGGGCAGGGGCCAGAGCCCCCACCCTTCAAAGGGCTGGGGAGAAGGCACCAGTGCACATGGGAATCCATCCTACCTGTGCTTGATGGAGTTGCCGAGGTCTCTGCGAGGGATCTGCGGGGACCAGCGTGGCACTGACAGTGTGTCTACAGAGAGAAGAGAACAGCCTGTTATACGGAGGGTCAGAGACTGGGGTGGGCTCTGGCAAGCCCTGGAAGGAAAAGGGAGGCTTGTCAACTTCAGGAAGGACACCAGCTGCCATCACTTGCTAAACCAAAGCCAAGTAGAACACTGGTTTAGCTTGTCACCTCAACTCACTCAAATTCTCCTGGGCAGGGTAGCCAGAGGATGCCTTAAAAGAAGCCAGCTGTGGAATGACTAAAAGTGAGCATCGCTTCCATTTACGGAGTGCTTGGTATGTGCCAAGCATGTGTGTGCCAAAGCTTGCCACATTCTCAAAACAATCCCAAGAATAGGGTTGCTAGAGTCTTCACGTTACAGAAGAAAAAACTGAGGCTTGGAAAGGGAAGTCACTTGCTCTAGGTCATGTATCTTAGAAGCTACACAGCAGCTGTGATTCAGGTTCAAGGAACCTGAAATGAACATGTGCCCTTGCATGCAAAGTTACAGTGCAGCCGGTTCCAAGTGCAGTCATGCAAGTGTCCCTTTCCTAATTTCTGCCATGCCTCTGCACAACCGTGAAGTTATTTATTTTGTATTTTAGGCTGACTCCAATTTTTTTTTTCTAAATACACTTATTTTTAAAGGCCAACACTATGTGGAAAGCCATATTGCTTTCTGTATATTACAGATAATTATCCGAATAATGTCCAACCATGTGCCACCTAAAGTTATGCCAGAGTAAGTAGATGGATGGATGAGTAGATAGATTGGGGAGGGGGTAAATGGATAGGTGGGTGAGTGGATGGATGGATGGATGGACGGACGGACATATGGGTGAATGAAAAGATGGGTAGGTGAGTGGATAGATAGGTGGGTGGGCAGATGAATGATGAATGGGAATGAGGAAGAAACAAAAAAATCACACTGCAGATGAGGTGCCTGTCCCCATCTGTCTTCTTTCAAGTCTTAGGCTAAATCTCAGGAAACTGCACTATCACTCCATCACAGACTGAATTCTGGGTCTCCCTCAGACCCTGTGCACCAGGTTCCACCTCCGCCCGACTGCCCATTGCCCACACCACCCTCCTGGCAGAGCTTGCAGGCCCTGGAGAGGTGTGAAACAATGAACTAGTGCTGCCTGCGGAATCTCTACCGGGCAGGGAGGGAAGAAGCAAGTGCCCGACCCTACACGCCAGTTCTCATTTCTCAGGCCAGATGGATGGAGCCAGCTCCCTGTTTTTGGAGCTGCAAATGCACGCCTCATTTTTCACAGCAATTGTTATGGAGTGGTGCTGTCTTCGGGGAGTCGGGCATGTCAGAACCTATCAGGGAGCATTTAACCCCCAACCTACTCGCTCCTCTCTTCTGCCTAATGACACTGTCTGCAGCTATCCAGTATTGTTTCCAGAAATCCCAATTCTGCCCTTGTAAAGCCGAGATCCTTTATGAGAGAGCTAATGATTTTCCAGGCCCCAACAGGCAGAGAAAACCTAAGAGGGAGACAGCGTGATATATCAATCAGAATTAGAGCCTGTGGGATTCCTTTAGTTTAACTAAAAACTAAATGTCATCAACCTCAAGCCCATTTCACTACATGTTACCATTTCTGAAGGAAACAGAAAAAGACAAGAGAAAAAAAAATTTAAGAGAGCTATTCTTTCCATTCCTAACTCTTTTGGGGACTGAAGTCAGATGTGGGAGGAGGGATTCTACCTATTAACTCCTTGAGGTGCTTTCTCCAGTGTGAGGGGTGGGTGGGAATGGGAAGACTGCGCCAGAGAGGAAGAGTTAGTATCCTCACAAGGAAATCTACAAAGCTAGAAGTGGTAAATGGGTTTCATTTCAGAAACCCACTAGTAGTGGCTGCCCAGAGAAGTGTGTTAAAATGGATTGAGGCTCAGTGGGAAAGGGCACTGAAACTGATTAGCAATCTCTGTCATGGGTAAAGAATAAGATTGTACCAACAGGTCCACGTACATTTGCCACCTCTGCGAGAGGGGAACCACATCTTTTTGCATCACCACCTCATAGCATCATGACTGTGGCAAAGTAGTTAATACACATTTGCTGAATCCAAGATTATTATAACAGAAACACCGAGTTTATTGATTACTCAATAGGTGCTAGGCATTAGGCTATGCATTTTATACCCAGAAGCTCTTCCTCTGTGCGGTCGGGCTGTCATTATTCCTATTGTGCAAAGAAAGACAAAGGAGCTCAGGGAAGTGCAGTGACTTGCGAAAGGCCACATAGCGACGCACCTGCCGATTCTCAATGAGTAACTCTGCAATTGTTTGAAAGTCTTCCAGAAGCCCTGGCACCCCTGTTCTCAACCAGAGGAGCATTTTCCCCCCTAGGGGATATCTGGCAGTGTCTAGGGACATTTTTGGTTGTCACACTGTGTGTGCGTGTGTGTGTGTGTGTGTGTGTTACTAGCATCTGGTGGGGAGATGGCAGGGATGCTCTTTAACAACTTATAATACACAGGGCAGACTCCCATAATAAAGAATTAAACAGCCCAAAATGTCAATAGCACCAAGGTTGAGAATTCCTGATGTAGACGTTTCTCTGCCTCTCCAGCCTCTGTCCCTTACTACTACCACCCTCCATCAAAAACCCCCAGATGGTGCTTCTGAGGCACAAGTCAGCAGAGAACAAATCCTCTTTTATTATATGCACATCTCACTATTACGTTCATAGCCTAGTTATTCAGTTATTCTCAATTATAGCTCCTTTTCAAAAAATAGATGTAATTAACTTTCGTAGTTTGGTCTCATTTCCCAATATCCGGTTGAAGGGGTGAATTCTGTCAATTACATCAAGCGGCTGCAGCATCATTAGTCTCAAGCAATAATAACCTCCACACGGCTTCCTACGTGGGTGTGAAGATTTGAACTTTGAGATCCTCTCTTTGCTTTCTTCATCTGGATTTTATTAAACTTGCCAATGCAAGCCTTAAAGCAACAGCAAACTGTTGAAAGGGAAGGAAAAAAAAAAATCTATGAAAATCCAGGCCTTATCATAACAGGGAAGGCAAACAACATTTACAGCAATTAAACCGATACAGAAACTTCTGTTTAACAATCAAAGCACCTATTAAGATGTCTCCATAGCTGACAGAATCTTCTTTTCTACTCTAATTTTCTGATAACAAGTCATGCAGACACAGAGGCAGAATTTTGTGCATGCCTGGTGCCTACGGTCTCAGGAGTAGAATAATAGACATTTCTCCTCAGATATTTTCATTTCTAGTACACAGAAAGAGAAAGAGTGGAAGGAGGGAGGTTCTTCTCCCCTTACACAGGTCTAGCTGTCGATGTCTTCAGAGAAATGCATCTGCCCAGAAGGGGCTTCACACAGAAGAGGGAAAAGCCAGGAGCCCAGGTGTTTGGAATCACCTTAGGAGTCAGAGGGACAAACAGAAGGCCCAGCAGAAGGAACCAGCATTAACAAAGCATCCACAGCACACAGAGTTTCTTGATGAAAAATCAGGCTCTGACCTGGTGAATTTGAAAGCTGCCTGACAGATGAGCTAGGCATGGAAAAAATATGTGAGGATATAAACAGAGACACAGGTAAAAATGGGTGATGATGAAGGAAAGGAAGAGGAGGACAAGAAAGAAGAAAAAGAGAAATTAGAAAAATATGGCCGGTGCAGTGACTCACACCTGTAATCCCAGCACTTTGAGAGGGTGAGACTGGTGGATCACCTGAGGTCAAGAGTTCAAGACCAGCCTGGCCAACCTGGCGAAAACCCCATCTCTACTAAAAAAACAAAAAAAATTTTTTGTCTATGGTGGGCTAGACACCATAGACAATTCCAGCTACTCAGGAGGCTGTAATTCCAGTTACGCAGGAGGCTGAGGCAAGAGAATTGCTTGAACCTGGGAGGCAGAGGATGCAGTGAGGCAAGGTCATACCATTGCACTCCAGCCTGGGCCACAAGAGTGAAACTCCATCTGAAAGAAAGAAAAGAAAAAAGAAAAGACAGAAAGAAAGAGAGAGGAGGGAAGGAAGGAAAATAGATCTGCTTTCCATATGCCAAGCATTATTGTCAAACAGACCCTTGACATATATTATCCCATTAGTATAAACACTACAAAGTTTACACACATGTAGTGTATCAGCCATGATAATTAGTGCCATTTCAACAAGGAAATAAAAAAGTTATTCCAACTGCTCTAGGTAAATGCAAGTAAATGCCAGAATGTGGATTTTTTAATTGAGCTGTGGCTCAATTAATGGAAGTGAATTTCATCTCCCGTTCACAGATGGGAATATTGAGGCTTAGAAGCAATAAGCAATTGTCTAGAGCTGATAAATGACTGAGCTGGGATTTAAACTGCAGACAGAAACAAACTGGATGCTTTTAGTCCAGACTTCCCTTCAACACCCTGCTCAACCCATCCTCTCCTGCCAAGGCCTCCTACGTACCCCTGTCTGGGAAGGACCAAGGGAGGGTGATGGAAGGACCTGGGAGGTGATATAATAGCATAACGCTCCTGTCCCACCCCAAAGATGCCCACGTCCCAATCCCTGGAACCTGGGAGTATGTTATCTTATCCGGCAAAAAGAGATGCTGGAGCTGTGGTCAAGCTAAGGACCTGCAGATGGACAGGTGACCCTGGATTACCACAGGTGGACCCATGTCACCATAGGGCCCTTATAAGACGGAGGGAGGAGGGTAAGAGTTAGAGATCAGAGAAGGGTTGTGACAATGAAGGCCGAGGTCAGAGTCATGCTACTGCTGGTTCTGAAGAAGGAGGAGGGACAGCAGCCAAGGCAGGTAGCTGGAAAAGGTGAGAATGGATGCTCCCCAGATCCTGCAGAAGGAACCAGCTCTGCCGACACCCTGATTTTAACCCCATCGGGATCCACTTCGGACTTTTGACTTCCAGAACTGGAAGATAATGAATCTGAGATGTTTTCAGACGCCGAGTTTGTGGTCGTTTGTCTCAGCAGTTATGGGAAACTGACCCGGTGCCTATCTTGTTCCAGGCATGGTTTCCAGGGGATACGGTGA